CTCCTTAGCTTGTCAAAGTCAGCTTTCCTGAAGTCAAGGACTTCTGTATTACTGACCGACTTGCCAGCTTTCCGGCAGATGGTGAAGATGATCAGCTCATGGTCACTGTCACCCACCTTCCCTTCAATCGTTAGGTCACTGGTTAAGTCATCCCCAGTTGCCAGCACGAGGTCTAGAAGTGCTTTACCTCTTGTCAGCCCGCAGACTTCCTGCATCAGATAGAGGTCATCCACACATGAGAGAAACCTTTGCAACTGCTTGGGTTTGGCTGAGCGCTCCTCCCACGAGATGTCTGGGTAGTTAAAGTCTCCCATGACAACCATACAATGGGAGCATGCAGCCTCAGCCAATTCCCCAGTGAACTCCTGGTCAAGGTCTTGACTCCGGGTAGGGGGTCTGTAGTAGACCCCCACCATAGTATCCCCTGTGCTGTGTTCCCCACGGATTTTAACCTAAAGGGTCTCAAGTCATCCACCATGGGTGCCAATGTCAACTTGCAGGGACACGTAGCTTTCCTTGACATAGAGAGCTACACTACTGCCCCTTTTGTCCACTCGATCCGTCCTATACAGGGTATAGCTGTCTATACCCATGGTCCAGTCATGGGTGGAGTCCCACCAGGTCTCCATTATCCCAATGACATCATAGTTATTTGCATTTAGCAGGAGAACAAGTCCCTCCTGTTTATTCCCCAGGCTCCTGGCATTTGTGTTATACATAGGGACTAACTCCCAGAAATCACGAAATCTCCACAAAATCCATAGGGGTGGAAAAAAAGACTTAATAAAAATAAAATTCTGGCTTCTCAGTGGGAGCCAGCAGTCCTCCCAACTGCACAGCCTGGCACGAATGGGACTGCTTGTACGAAAGCAATCAGGCAAGATGGGCTGGGTATCCTACCTGTCATGTGGCCCTGCCCCTCTCCACCAATCAGCAGTGAGGGTTGGGGCTGCACAACAGACAGCCTTTTCAGCCAGTCAGGGCCATATACTAGACATCCCTACCCATCAATCAGCAGAAGGGGGGCAGGGTCACTGTGGACCCTTGGCCAATTGGAGGTGTGGTGGGGCTCTAGCCACAATAAGCCCATGAAAATGGTGGCTGGCCCTGCATTCTGCCCAGGAAATTGGCCGGTCACCACCTCAAGTTGGCTAGACCCCTATTTTTACCTATATCCAGTGCAAGCTTCCCAACTTTGTGCTACTAATGTGCTTCAAACATGGCCTAAAAATACCCAGAGATGGATCATCAGCCAGTGAAAACTTAGGCGATTAGTCAAGGATGCACTGCAGAGTAGGAGTTTTGAAGTGATGGGAGCCCAAGAAGGGTGGCTGTGCCTTAAGGAAACAATCCTTTGGGCACAAAGCGAGACGATCCCCATGCGAGGAAAAAGAGGGAAAGGGGCCAGGAGGCTTCCTTGGCTGACCACAGAAATCCAGGGCAGCCTAAGGGCCAAAAGGGGAGCACATAAAAAGTGGAAACAGGGAGAGATCACCAAAGACGAATATACCTCCTCTGCTCGCGCTTGTAGGGAGGCAGTTAGACAGGCCAAAGCTACCATGGAGCTGAGGATGGCATCCCAAGTAAAGGACAACAAGAAATTGTTTTTTAGATATATAGGGAGTAAAAGGAAGGCCCAGGAAGGAATAGGACCCCTGCTAAATGGGCAGAAACAATTGGTGACGGACAG